TAACTTCCACCGTCATTTTCAAGGTTTTTAGCAATGACTAATTTGAGAAATAACAATAGACTTCATAACTCTGTTTGCCTTTTTTCCTTTTTTTCCAACCCATCATCATAATTCTAAATAATAGTGATCTAGTACTTATATTGTTCTCCGCATGCAAAAATGGTCCTACTGGATTTCTTGATAATGCATAAGCATTAGTATTAAGTTTTCCCGGCTTGTTTTTAAAAGTGTATTCATAATCAGTAAATTTAAACATTCTTAGCATTAAATACTGCACTTAGTATCTTTTTAAATCCACTTAGTTTAATGGCTCATGACTAGCTACACAAGCAAACTTATTCCCTTAATAATAGGAACGAAAATCATGCATTGTGCATAGTGCAGATAAGCATCCCTTTTTAATTGTGAAATAAGTAATTTCAGCTATATATAAAGTTCTTAAAAGATAGTTAGCAGAAGGTCAATCCCATCTTTTTTTTGACTAAATACTACTTCAATAAGGTAGTCAGATTCATCTTATGTTAACTTAAATGATTTACTAAAATCGGAAAATTGTAGCATAGGCTTTTAACATAGATGGTCTTTTAGTACTTAAATACTTTTTTTGTGCACTATATTCAGTAAAAAATGTTTTTTTCAAAAAATAAGATTATGGCTGAACTATTTTCACAAAATTTCAAATAAAACGTTTATATTATCCTGACCGTCCTAAGAACTATCTTATATTTCGTATAGTTTTTAGTTACAAAAATATTTTATGAGTCCGTATCTCCTTAGTATCTAGTTTAATTTCTTATTGACTAACTATATGCTCAATGAATATTACTTCTTTTCGCAAAAGTTTAACTTTATTTGGTTGAAGTAATATACTCTCATGTCTTATCTGGTCAAAAAGTAGCTCCACGATCATGGTTTACTAGCTTTTTTTGCGTAAATAACAAAATCATTAAGAAACACTAACGTTGAAACATTTAATAAATCTCTTCATACGATATCCGTTAGTAACTGGAATGTGGCAGTCGTCTTTTTCAAGCCTTCTGGCATGCATCTGTATTGGTAATATGCATTAAGTGTTGTAAATGCTGTCTTGCAGTTATCGTGTTCTGCTATAGGAATTTGTTGAAATCCACTTGCTAAATCAAAAGAATAAAAAGTAAATGGATCCTCCCAGCTGGTTCATAATGTGTGCGATATAAGGCAATAAATAGGTCTTACCAATAGTATTTTATTAAGTTCTTGGAAGTTGATTTTTAATTTTTATTTTGAATTTCCATGGCTGTTTTTTAAAGATTTTTTGAAACAATCCAAAGAAATGAATGATATGGTGATGACGAGACTTAATTTTACCATCGTTAAGTATTTTTGCTACATAGTCTTCTAAAACTTTTCTTTGTACCGGTAGGTGACGATATTATTAAGTGTTAATAGAGATACTATATTTTGTCGAAACTCTATGTGCAACAAGATTAGCACAGGGTAAAGTGTCTCCTGGTAACAAAAAGATTTTTGAAAACTCGGAGATCAGTCAATAAGCTCAATCTTGATCTTCCAGGCTTAAATGACCAGTACGCACGAGTCCTTTAAGGTGTCTTATTCTGTCTTGTTTGTTTTTGATAACATATGTATAATAATCACTACTAGTATCGAGGTAAGATTTAGGTGGAATGTATTCAATGGGTAAAATTCTCTTGGATGTACTTCATTCGTAACATCGTGCTTATTTATGGTTATTGTCATAATATTGCATTGACAGTTCTGACTTCTTAGTATTTTATTTTCTATATACACTTTATTCTGACCTACGTTGACTCCTGGTAAGTATCCTCCAGTTAAATTGGGAATAAATAAATCAGTTCTTATTATTTGACGTGTTGAAGCCCTAATCATATTTTAAGTAAATCCAAAAATGTTTTTGTGTGTATTATTAAGGTAATATAGCAAGGGTTTTGAGTGTATCTTGGTCGTTTAACTCATTATTTTCGCTTTACCTGCCACTTCCATCAGTTTTATTATTAGTAGGGCTTGTAAAATTATCACTCCTTTGTCATTAAGTTAGTCCGTTGTCTTTATCTTGAAAATACATTTCAGCTCTTATGTTTTTAAATTCTTCGTCTTTTAGTATATTTGACTTTTTAGGCTGGCCTACGATGTATTCGTCATTAAATATTTGCTGATTAATTTAACCCCTTGGACATTCTGTTTCTTCGTTTCTTTTAAGGGTAAAAGCTGTAATCTTATTTTTCTGTGCTTGTTTCTTTAGTTTTATGACTTTCTGTTTTTTTTCATTTGTTTCCGATTGCTCTATTTTTTTAATAGTTTAGAAAAATAGGGCTCATTATGTCATTACTTATTAGTATAGCATTATGTAAATATCACAACGTGGCTCATTGTTCTTTTCAAAAACTTTAACCTAAATACCACCATATTTAATGGGGAAATCATAAGGGATTGAATAAAAAGTTTTAGGTTTTCTTTGTATATTAATGGATGTTGTTTTTTTAGTTAATACTAGGTGGAGTACAACTCTAGTAAAATTTATAATTTGACGAGTCCCTACGTGTGGGTACCACTAATTCCGTTTTATCATGTTTGTATTGGCTCCATTATTAAACAAAAACATAATAAAACGATTTTTTCCTTTGTAACAGAAAACCTTATGGTAGTATGCTTCTCATATACGACAAGTCCCTGATATGTGCCAATATTGACAGCTTCGATTCTGTTGCAATATTCATCACCTGAATCGTAGTACTAAGTGTTTTGTTCTGTTAAAAATGCTTGAGGCTCACCATGGTACGATGTTGGGGATAAGGTACTTGCAAGTTGAAATGATGCGGTAAATAATTGTCTCCTGGCTGTTAATAATTCTGAAAATTAGATTTTATTGGTGTTAGTTGTTGTAATTATCACAATTTTTTTTTTGGGAGTATCTATTATAATTATTTTGGCCTTCATAACTAGATTGGTTACATTTAAAATTACGATTCAAATTTTAGAAAATTAAAAAAAGAATAGCTGGTCAGGATACCTGTTTTGCTGTTGATATGAGTTTTTAATTGTTCCTAAGGTAACTATCAGGTAGTCTTTGGTATCGTGTGTCAGGGATTGTACCAACTCTTATTCGGCTTTCCAATCGCAATACATACTTGAAGGCACCAGTTGAAAAAACAGGTTCTTCCGCATCTACTTGTTGGTTTATCGTAGGCTCTACAGCTTCGATTTCTTCTTTTTCTTTCGAATGCCTTTCGTAGAGGTTCTTCTTTATTAATAAACATGCCTATCGCCATGTCTTTTATTTGCATTACTATCTGCTTATTGTACGCATTTCTCATATGTTCCATTAAAGCCTTTTTAGCACCACTCTAAAGTATGTTTACAGAATATTAATATTCGCTAACTGATTGGCCTTGTTGTTAACGCTGTTAATGCAGCAGAGTTTCATAATGAGCAGTGGTTTTTCCTATTTAAAACCTTTCTTTCAAATGTATTATAAGTGACTTGAGGTCTTTTAAGTCTTGGCCACTTACGCGTATACGTGCAGCACCTTGCAGATTTTGCGATACTGCTCCCTTATACACATTTTTTTCATTATCCCTGACCCAACTTTATTTTCTGATATCTTGAATATAGTTCTTGAGTGGAATATTGTTTTTCTAATGTATAGAAATGAATTTGATTGCATGTTCAAACGAGAAATTGGCTTTAAGAGGCTTCATCAGCGCTTTAGCAACGGTTATACCAGCATCAGCTGAATGATCGTCTTCGTTGACCATTTTCATTGTTTTATTATTATTTTTGTAATATAATTTTAATTGTGTGCAAGTTTTATTTTACCTATTCTTATACAATATTCTGTCTTATCTGTCTTTCTGTGTGTTTGTACTTTGTATTATATTTCGTATAGTTTTTAGTTACAAAAATATTTTATGAGTCCGTATCTCCTTAGTATCTAGTTTAATTTCTTATTGACTAACTATATGCTCAATGAATATTACTTCTTTTCGCAAAAGTTTAACTTTATTTGGTTGAAGTAATATACTCTCATGTCTTATCTGGTCAAAAAGTAGCTCCACGATCATGGTTTACTAGCTTTTTTTGCGTAAATAACAAAATCATTAAGAAACACTAACGTTGAAACATTTAATAAATCTCTTCATACGATATCCGTTAGTAACTGGAATGTGGCAGTCGTCTTTTTCAAGCCTTCTGGCATGCATCTGTATTGGTAATATGCATTAAGTGTTGTAAATGCTGTCTTGCAGTTATCGTGTTCTGCTATAGGAATTTGTTGAAATCCACTTGCTAAATCAAAAGAATAAAAAGTAAATGGATCCTCCCAGCTGGTTCATAATGTGTGCGATATAAGGCAATAAATAGGTCTTACCAATAGTATTTTATTAAGTTCTTGGAAGTTGATTTTTAATTTTTATTTTGAATTTCCATGGCTGTTTTTTAAAGATTTTTTGAAACAATCCAAAGAAATGAATGATATGGTGATGACGAGACTTAATTTTACCATCGTTANTATTTTTATAAGATGAAAACTTCAAAACTCCATAAAAAACTTACAATTTTAAAAGATTGTACTTTTGTTGTTGAACCCCCTCTCCGAAGTCCTCTGGTATAAATTATTAAATCAATAAATAAAGCGAACTTTTGATTTACAAAAAACTATTCTTTTCATTTTACTAGGGGGATTCTTAAGAAAAATAACTTTTTTTTTTACTAGGAAACATAAAATTTAGTCGTATTTGCTTTGTTTCGAGGCAATAGACTAACAGAAAAATACAGTATTTCAAAATTGCTAAATTTTCTTTAAAGCAAAAATAATGTTATTAATGTTGGTTCTTTTTACGATGTTTGTATAGATTTTAAGATCAATGCAATACTTTTATGCAATATACGGTGTTAAAGAATTTAGTATTTTATTTTTTACGGAAAAAGCTATAAAAATAATTAAATAACGTTTTCTTATTATAAAGACTCTTTTTCTATTTTAGATTCATTTAGCTGCACTGGAAAATCTTTGGAAAACGTAGATAGGATCTCACTTGGTCTTATGGATGACTGGGATACAGCAATAACATTTACTGCAAAAACGTCAGGTAATTATTTATGTAAAGTTATTTATAAAAACGTTCTTATTATGCATATTAGCACTTCCATAGTCATAAGATTTCGAGAAATAAGGTATTTCTTTTATCTTGAAATTTGAAATATTTACCGCACTTAAGGTTAAAAAAATTACTTTTATACACAAGATGCTACTGTTAAAAAATTGACAGTAGTATGCAAATTTAGAAGTTATAGACCTTGTACTAAAAATCGCGTATTCTAGGAAATGTCCTGAAGCGTACGTTTAATACGTTTATTATATTATTTACAGTTCGGTACATATTTAAAGATGATGTAAATTCTCATAATAAGAACAAGATACAACCTTCAACTTTATTTTATTGTGGATAGCAAATATGCTCTATTTTTTTTTGTATTGTACAGTAAAACCAAGCAGTAGTCCATACTTTGTTTTGTAATCCAATATTTGTTATTATTACAACTCAATGGCACGTTGAGAAAAAGTCTACTTCTTGTAGAAGTAGGGAGCTTTGTTGCCATACAATTTTTTGGAAACAAACAAGTAAGAGACACAAAAGTGGTTCTTAGAAAGATGGTAACCATATAATAATTTTTTTTTATCCAAATCATGTGAAATTCTGATCAAAAAGTCTGATAGATACACTGAAAGTAGAAATTTATTTAATTTTTGTCAATTAACGGTTATTAAACCAAATTAAAAGAAAATAGTTCCTAAAGTTTTTGTAACAACTGCTTTTTGAAAAAGCTCCTGTTTACATCTGTTATCCTACATTTTTAATTTACATAGAGTGCTGCTGCTTAATCTGTGTCCTAACAATCAAGTTTCCGATATACTTCTCATTTACTTTGTTCTCTGTGGAAGGTCCCTGTTATTTTTCGCTTACCTAGATTGGCATAAGAACTCTGTTAATATAAAGCGATTGTAGTTGTTAATGTATTCATTAAGTTTTTTGTTATGTAAATTTACAGTTCGTCTTACCCTTTAGTAGAAACAATCTATGATCAAATTTTGGACCTGTGGATGAGTAAGCGATCACTTCTTGTTTACATAAGAATCTGCCTCAATATTCGAAACAGTTGTCTTATAGTTTATATTACCCTGTATAAATTAACTGTATACGTATGCCCTGAAGCATTAAGTTCAGAATTTTGCACTATAATAAAAAGGATACTTGATAGCTCGTCACCACCGTAATCTTAAAGAAACAATACATTATAGAACTAATGTAAAACGAACGTAACAGCATTAAGCAAAGTCAAAGTTCGATTAGATGATGTAAAACATTATTATTGTCAAACTCTTAATCATGGAAATAATTCAAGGTCGTATAAAATATAAATGTCAGTACTCAGCAAAGTTCGAATTTCATTGAGTAATATATAACATCATGACTTTTTTTGTAGCCATGTATTAGATTTATCAAAAACCATACCGTTTCGGAAAAAATTAGTATCACCTGAAAAAAAGTACTGTCTTTTGTGTGCGTTATATTAGTGCCAGCTTAGATGTCTATTTACATCTAACGCACGTCACTCCAGTGCTATATAAGCTCGTCCCTTGTAGAACCACTGACACATCTTAAGCTAAAAATATTACACTCTGCATTACATGCTTTTGAAGACATATAAAATACTTAGTGTTGCGTTAAAAAAGAATTTAAAAAATAGGATTTAAATACAACTTTTAAGCTCAAGGAATAAAGATGTGTGTGGTTCACAAAGGCTTTCTTATACAGGCTTGGTGTATCTATAGGTGAATGGGTGCGTTTAGCAAGCCAAGAAGCTTAAGTAAAATAGCATTCTTTAACATTTATACTAAAAATAATGGTCATAATACTGTCGAACATGTCCATAAAACCTGCCAATACGGACGTTACTGACATGGCAATCTGTAAAACTTTGACTTTTTGGTTAAACAATAACGGATATGTTTATCACACTGTTGATTTTGAAATTTATTTAGTAAGATTAAAGAAACAAAAAGGAAAAAACAAAATGCACTAATAAAAGGAGCCACTTACCCGGCCGATAAGTACTTTTTTTCCTGCATGTTTCTGAAGTTAGTGATTTTTGTTCTCAGCTCAGCCTATTATAGTCTCTCCATTTTCTTTGGTTGAAGAATTATCTGCTCATCCATGCCACATGTTTTCCTTTCATACTCAATGCAATCGTTCTTTACCTATTAGAATATATTATGGCTCTTTTTAACACACCGAATGGAAGCCAGTCTCTACAGAGTGTAAGACCTCTTTGTTCTTAGTTACCAAAGGGATTGGCATCTCTAAGATGTCTTCACGTGCAGGTAACTTATAAGTTTAATTTTTTGTTAAGTTTATTAGATACGTGCTTCGACAATTGACTTAATTATTAATGTTACGGAAGAAATACTAAAAGGCATCCGAAGTTTTTTGCGTGTCAGAAGAAAAATACTAGTAGTCTTGATTTGGTAATTAGGGGATTACTTTTTTCTTTTCTTTAAATTGATTTTAATAGCAACTGCCACGATTTCAAGGTTATCATTATATGTAATTTCTATTTTTATTTCTATACAATCATGTGAGAAAATAATTAGAAAAGATATTTTCCGTTATGAATCCTTAATTTGGGAAATGAAAACAGTTGGTTCTAATTATTCTGTATTGCGCTTATATGATGTCTCATATTCAACGATAACTATATATTTTTATAAGATGAAAACTTCAAAACTCCATAAAAAACTTACAATTTTAAAAGATTGTACTTTTGTTGTTGAACCCCCTCTCCGAAGTCCTCTGGGGTACTATGCCAAATTCATCCACAAGCAAAAAGTGTACACACCATAAACAAAAACATCTTGCACTATTAATAAGTTATAAACTAACTGTTTTGTTGATTACAAGGTTTAAAGAGTTCAAGCAAGAGAAATCTATGTTTTAAGTTTCCACGAGAATGAGATATTTTGGCTTTGGTTAAATGTATTCAGGTTTCTCAATTTTTTTCATTCTTGCGCAACAGAAACCTTGTTAAAAGCTAACGGACAAGCGGTGTATGTTATTCATAAACTTTTATTAGAAAATATGTAACGGACTGATAGACTAACTACTTAAAAAGAGACGCTCCTAACTTTCAGCGTGGTATGGGTGGCAAGACAAGGGAGGAGGAGTGCATGCTCATTCTTCCCGTTATATGCATTGTTTTTTTATTGTAACCAGTAGAGCTTTTATAAGGGTTTGAAAAAAAGTGTTTCAAAATAAAGTGCAAGTAATGGATTAATCAGTGAATGTCGTCACAACTACGACTACCAGAAGAATAAGTCTAAAAAGTTATTAAATATGAACAAAAAAGATTAAAAGGTATTTATTTTAGTTTCTGTGGCTTCTATTGTTCTGATTGTGTTGATATAACTCAAACTTTGATACGATGAGTAAATTTTTTACAGTCTTGTTTTTTTGTGAGTTGCAAAATAAAAATTTGTCTTCTATTTTATGTTATTAAAAATATTGGTTTTACAATTTGTAATGTTTCAAATGAACAAAAAAGAGCCTTACTACATGCATTTTTTCGTATTAATAATTAAAATATTGTTGATTAGCTCCTTTAGGTAGTAGGTCAAAGGATAGTCAGGTAATAGTTGCTTGTAAGCTTAAGGTACAGTACAAAGTTCTCAGATTTTTGGCTTTAGCTGAATAAATTATGTGTTGCAGGTACAATCTTCTAAGTGTTAAGACAAATGACATGCAAATAATAAAAAAATCAATTTTTTTTACGACACTAAGATTTCTTATGTTTTTTTTTGTCTTTTGCTTGACACGTGTAATATATTTCTATGCATAGTTTTAACAAAGCTTGAGACAAAAGTAATTTTATCCACTAAAACATTTTCGCTATTTTTTTCCTGGTTAAGCTAAGAGATGCATTCAATTTAATGGTATTTAAATGTTATTATATGTGTACATGGTTCTCATTTATTATTAAATTTTAATTTATACTCATACTCTGTATAATATAAGGTTTTTTATCCGGAAACCAAAGCATTTGTCACTCGTTAAGAAAACACAAATCAAAAATCTTAATAACTTGATTGTTGAATAGTTAAATTACTTATCGCATTATTGTATTGATAGTTATAAGAGTAATATGTTATATTTGAAAATTTATTTGTTAATCGTCTTGATTATTAATAATTAAATTTGTTAAAGTTGCATTCATTAATTATGGTTATGTAGCGTTTTTTTTATAAAAAACGCTGATTTCTTTCTCCACAAACAGCAGCAAACAAAGGTACACTTACTTCTAGCTGAGCCTTACGTTAATGTCTGTGACCCTATTTACTAGTATTCACATATGAGTAGTTAAAATTTCCAATTTGTACTGTCATTATAGATAAAACTATACTTTTAACATACCCTAATCTCGCTGTTATTGTCTGATCGTATGGGAATCTGATGGTACAGTTTTTTATATTTTTTTGCTTACATACCTAATAAGCCTTTGACCTGAATAGTTATAGAAAAACAGCAGAATTAGATACTCATGGAAAAAAGACCCATTTGCATCTTATAGCAGTCATTAGTGATATCCCATTTCATATACTCAATGTTTATTACTTTAAATTACAAAGTTTTTTATTTTAATTATATAAATCACAAAGTCAGAAATCTTAAATCATCGAGCAGTATACCTGCTTTTGCAATTGCTTGACATATAACTTACTTCTCTTGAAACAATCTGCCATCGCAAAGCTCGAACTACGCATGCAACCTTAAACAATCTTATAAAACGCTCATTTTAGAAAATCAATTCGCTCAAGTACACCAAATAATGTTATTCATCAACAATTCAACCATTCTTTACTGCGGATGTACCCAAGAAATATCGTACACCATTTTGACAGCAACTTGTACTTAATGTAAAATGCAACAGATCAGCAGTCTTAACTTTAACAACAATCTTAACCATCAATTACTGTAAAACTGTTGTACCACGACTGTGCTTGTGTCAGTCAAGGGTAATTAGGCTAAGCTTTGAT